CAGGCCTTGAGAGTATAAGATTCTGGGTGGCTCCAAAATCTTCAACACAAAATTCCAAGGGTGGGGCATGTGGATTCCCCAGGCTCATCATTCCTGGGTCCAGGGCGTGGGATGTGTTCTATGTCCTGGGATGATGCATGTGCCTCTCTCCCCCTCCCCAGATACCACTCGGGCCACCCCTGAGGATAACCACAACGACCTTGTCCCTCCACTGGAGCTCTGCATAAGAACCAAGTGAGTCAGGCCTGTCCCCATCTCAGGTTCTACTCTGCTCTGAATGGGAGGGAGGGTGTGCTTAGGGGATCTGACCTAGTGGTGTGCCAGGTAAGAGCCCTGTGGTTGGAGCCTATGCATAGCAGATTTCTCACTACTGTAGCCCTGCTGATTCTAAGCATGACTGCATAGCCGGATGAATGCTGGGCTTCCCTGGGGGAACGCCCCAATTGTGCTAAGCTCTGTTAGACCTCATGGGGCAGCTGGGACTTGCTGGGACTTGGTGAGGGAGGCTGTAAACTGGAACAGGACTGGAAGGTGGAGTGGACTGGCCAACCAGGGCCTGGTGGGATGTGACTGCCTGCAATAGAAGCTTCCTGACCTTGCCACCCTGGACCTGGAGAAGAGGAGGCTCAGCGGCTGGGAGTTAGGGGATGCCAGGCTGGGAAGGAGCACCCCACACCTGGGGGAGTGGGCTCATTTCCCTATTGAGTTCTGGGTGGGTTCCAGGGCTAGAGCTATGCTCTGGAGGGCTGGGTTGTCACTGGCATGATGGGGAGGCCTCATTGTGTGTTGAGGGAGCACCTGAGGAAGGAGTCCCCCAGAGAATAGTAGAAGGGGAAGTCAGAAATCTGAAGCCAGGGTGCCTGGGTCCAAGCCCTTGTACTGCCGCCTACTATGAGCTATTGGATGTCACTCTGCCACTCTGTCATCTGCGAAGTGGAGTAATGGCAGTACCAGGCCTGCATGGTTCTTAGGAAGATGCAGAACCTTAGGTCCTTAACACTGCTCTTGTCATTATTGTCTTAGCCATGCATGTGCCTTGTGGCCTCGGGCAGAGTCTGTTTCCTGTGGGGTCATCCCAGGCTCTGAACTTATGGTTGACTGAGATCCAGGTGGCACATCCGGCATCCAGGGTCACTGCCTACCCGAAGGCCTTGGGTAGGGCCAAGGAAGAGTGAGGACACCATGTGCCATAGAAACAGCAGGAAAGGGAAAAGGAGAGGGGATGTAGTATTCCCATCAGTGTTGTGCTAGGACTGGGCAGATGCAGCATTCCTAATGGCTGTGTGCTGGGACCGGCTGGATGCAGCATTCCTGCTTGGCAGTGTGCCAAGGGCTGAGGGCACAGGCAGGTTCCTGTCCTTTCATGTACAATGGCCCACTCATTCCAGGTGATGAATGAAGAGCTGCCACTTTGGGGAAATGAGGTGGTGCCAGCTTTGGCACCTTATATGGGCCAGTACAGGAGACCACAGGGCATCCGTCCTGCCAGGGACGCAGTCTCTGCTACGTCTGGACCCCTAGAGCCTCCATCATACTTTCTGTGCATCCTCCTATGCGGCAGGCGCCCAGGCTCTCCTGCTCTTTCTGGGTGGGGAAAGGACAGAAGTGAGTGGCTTACCTGGGCCTTCCTGGGCTCATCCCTAATTGGCAGTTGTTGGAGAATGACTCAGGGTACTGGTTGTCCCCAAGGAAGCCCCTCAACAGAAGTGGCATGGCACGGAACTCAGGCCCAACTCAGAAATGGCACCTGGGCCATCTCAGCTGTTTCAAAGGCAGTGAGGGGAACTAAGAGGCTACTTACATCAGAGAGAAAGCCCAATGCCTGGGGGCACAGTCTCTTACCTCTGCTTATACCCTGGGCTGAATAAGGCCTTGCCCAGCCTGTTCTCCACAGTGCTTCCCAGAGGGAGAGTAACTCTGCTTGTGCAGCCATCGCATCAAGAATACCAGGCCTGGGGACTTGTCCCTAGGGGCCTTGTTTCTAACATGTTTTCTTCTGCCTGTTATATGTCCCTGTCATGCCCCACTGCTCCTAATGCAATACAACTTTGCATCACCATTCTCAGAGATCCTGGGCAGCTGAGTGAGGACAGAACCATTGGGTACTGACCCATCAGATAACATACCATCATAATGGGGAACAGCAGGCCAGGCCCCGGAACCCCGTTCCAAGGGTTGGATTACAAAGGCTTTGTGCTTTGCTTTCATCCCAACTCTAAAACAGCTCAAAAGAGAAACTTGGGAAAGTGGCCTCGAGGTCATGGTGAGGATTCATTGGAACTGGTCTTGTCCCTGCCCATGATGGGGGTGTAGGGAGGGTTCCTGCTGCCTGGAAACAGACTTGTTTTCTGGTGAAATGGGTCAGGGTGAGAGCTGGGTATACGTGCTGTCCTCTCCAGCCTTCTTACAGGATGGATTAGGAGCTGGATAGACTACCGGTAGGCTAAAGGGTTTCTTTTCCATTGCACGCCTGTTATGGAACCCAAGGTAGACTCCATGGAGAAACATCGACTGGACTCCATAGAAGAAACACCTAGAACCGGGGCTAGACTCCATGGGAAAAACATCTGAAACCCAAGAATCAGTTCCTGCTCTCAGAGCTCTCAGCTGAGTGGGAGCCAAGTTCAGAATGAACCCTATGCCACTTCAGAGGAGATACACCTCCCGCCCTCACACTCAGCTCCACACACTGCAGGACATACCACACCCCTGTCATCCTGAAAGTTGCGTGGGTCCATACCAGTCTAGCCCTTCCTTTCACAGATGGGGAGACAGGGACTCCAGAAGGGAGGTCCGAATGTGCCCAGCCACACCCCAGTTATGAGCAGCTTAGGCCCTCACAGTCCAGCCTGGTGGAAGGTCACCAAGAGGGCAGTTTGATTTCCTGCCATCTGGCTTTGTTGCCATGGAGACATTGCACAAGCCGACTGTGGGTTTTGCCTCTGAGAAGACAACCCTAATTGGAACCAGTGTCCCTACTGTTGCTGCTCTCCACTGTGATGCAGTCCTAGCCCCATTCAGTTGTCTGTTCCTTGTGTTGGTTTAGGAGAGCTGAGTCTGCGCCCCACTCTCCCCTGCCACTCACCTGGGTCTGGAGAGCGGGGTCTGTGCTTCACTCCTCCCCTGCTGCTCTCAACCATATCAGCAAAAACCGTTAGCGTCATTTCCAAACAAGGCTCACATGAGCTCTCCATGCTTCTAGACTCACTGGAGTAAGAGAAAATGAAGCAGTTGTCACCAGTCCAGAGAGAAGAGGGAAGAACTCATGACCAGGCCTGAGGCGAGGGCCCAGATGTTGCTGTTCACTCAGAAGAGAGATTGAAAATGTAATTCCAGCTGGATCAGTGCCTTCAAGGGCCTGGGGCAGATCAGTTTCCCCCTTCTTCCTGCAAAAGCCCTTGCCTGTGCTCTGTATTTGTGGTCCCTGCCCAGCCCTACCCTGGGCTCTGTTCTCACAGTGCCCTCACTCATGGAGAGGGCCTTTCTGGATGTCGGCTGCCTCTCTGGCCACACCATGCATGCTCTTCTGATGTACTTCTCCCACACACCTGCCTGGCCCTTGAGGTCATTCCTGACCTCATGACTCTTCCCCGAGCTATGCAGAATGGAGAGTGACAGGCAGTTAGTTCCTTCCTGTTTGGGAACTGGGAGAATCAGCTGGTAGCACCTAGGCAAGGGTCTGGTTGGAGGCAGAGTTGAGGAGAGGGTGTGGGCATGGCTTTGAGACCACTGAGGTTAAAGGCAAGGAAAACCAAGTTTCCCTGTTGGGCCAGGGAAGGGCATCCTCCTGCTACACAGGTCTGGGTGGTGATGGTCCCAGGTATTCCGTCAGCCAGAGGTCACTTCTGTGAGAATGTGAGAGTGGGCAAGGGAAAGAATGGAGAGCTGCCTGGGTTCCAGATGGCAAGAGTGCAGGGACAAGCTTGACATGTGCCTTTCTGTAGAAATTCAAAGTGAGCAAGAAGAGGCCCTGAGTACCTCTCTACCAGGTCTGCCCTCTTTACTGCTATGGCTGTACCTAGATCTTGCCCCTCCATGAAATATGCCAGACTCATTGGTGTTCTGAATCTGCGGAAGCAGGGAACCACTGTCCATTTTGATGTCCTCCTGGGTGGGAAAGGGCCCCATTTGCAGCCATGGCATGGCCTTTCCACAACGGAGTACATTTTGAGCTCCAGGAACCACAGCATTTTGCTGAGGTCAGCCTCCATGCTGGTATCTTCAGTGAGGGGGTGTAGCATGGAGTCAACCTGCTGAGTTATTTGGCAATAGGGGGGTTGTGTACCTGTTAGTTTTTGGCAGTGGAGAAGTCGCATACCTGTTGGGTTATTTGGCAGTATGTGTGGCAGGGGTTGTATACCAGTTTGGTTATTTGGCAGTATGGGGATCACATACCTGCTGGGTTTTTGGCAGTAGGTGGGTCGCATACCTGCTAGGTTTTTGGCAGTAGGGAAGGGCATTTACCTACTAGGTTATCTGGCAGAAGAAGGGTTGTGTACCTGCTGAGTTATCAGTAGAGGAGGGTCATGTCTCTGCTGTGTTATCCTGCAGTAGAGGGGTCGTCTACCTGCTGGGTTATTTGGCAGTCGTAGGACAGGGAAAAGGTCCTGAGCATCCTCTAGTGTACTGGACAGGCCCCAGATGCCAAGAGTGCCCCACTGACAGCCTGTGCTTTGAGCAGTCACACTGATGGTCACCTCCTGAGTCAGCTAGGATGACGATGAGCCCAGGTTTTTGACAGGAGTGAGGCCGCCTTTCCATCTCATCCCTCCCCTCTTTCTGACATCCCTACTTTTTGTTGATTGCATATGCAGAACTCTTATTCATCTTGTATTTGGCTCAGACATTCAGAGCAGCATCTGTTGTATCTCAGCCCTTTCAATTTGTAACTTGTCTCAGTTTTCCACTGTTGTTACAAATGACTCCCTAGTGGCTTCCAAGCTTTGCACTTACTGACTGACCAAGAGTTAGCTCTCTCTGTAAATGCATAAAGGGCTGGAGGTGTGACTCAAGTGGTTGAGCATCTGTATAGCAAGTATGGGGCCCTAAGTTTATACCTCAGTACTGCCAAAAATAAATAGAAAATAAAGTCAAATGTTAGGAAATGTCATGGTCTTACCTACAATAACTTTTACATTAGAACTGAATTGCTATTGTATCTCATCTTGAACTGCTATTTAATGCTACCCCATGCCTCCTAAGGCTTCAGAAAGCAAACTCTCAAAAGTCTGTCATCTCCTGTGATACACATAGCCCTTCACTGGCTGCTTGTGGCCTGAGAGGAAAGCCCAGAATCTTTACAGGCCCTGCAGGCTCTTAGCCCCTCCTGCCTCTCTTCCCATTGTTCTGGGCTTCTCCTGCACTGTGAAGACCTCATCCTGCCCAGATGCCTCACAAGGACCCACATGAGGTGCCTCTAGGAAGCCGCTGGGTCCAGAGGCCTGAGGGATACTCTGTCAGCAGAGCCCAGAGTACAGTACAAAGTTGGCTGGGGTGCAAATGAGTAAACCACCATCTACTGTCTTTTCCACTGCTTCTCGGGGTCCTGATGTGTTTGTAAGGTGTTTGGGGGGCTGTGAGTGCAGAGGAACAAGGCAGGCCTTGGTGCAGAAACTTTTGGTAAGTGAGGGTCCCACCAGGCCTCTGTAGCTCTAAACTCTTCCTCCCTTCCCCCTTAGGTGGAAGGGGGCTTCTGTGAACTGGAATGGCTCAGACCCCATCCTGTGACCCTTGGATGCACCTAAGTTCTACAGCTCCATTGCTCATCACCAGCAGCCCTTGCACCTCAAGCCTTGTACAAGTCTCTGAAAGTCATCTCCACTGAGGCCAGCATGACCACAGACGTGTAAAGAGGCTCCATTACCCCCTCTCCGAAGGGCCTGCCCAGGCCCCGGGGGGCCCCAGCGCACTGTGGAGATTTTCTTCTGCCAAGCAGCAACTGCCAAAGACAGGATTGTTCCTTGAAGGCCTTAGATATGGGTGGCCATGCATTCTATAAAGCAAGAGTCAAATCTGTGCTGAGGACTTCTTTTTTTTCACCATTGGCAAGGTCTGAGGCAGGAAGGAGATGTTGGAAGCCCCAGAGCCAGGACTATAGTGGCTGCCCTGGCAGGTGGGTTCCTGTCTCTTGCATGGCCAGCACTGGTCTCAGGTGCCACGCTACAGAGGCTGAGCTGACAGAAAGCAGAGCAGCTCAGAGGGAGAGCTGGATCCCCAGAGGCCTGGTTGGATGAGGGATCCAGCCAAGCGGGTGTGAAGAAGAGCCAGCAGGGAAGGGGCCTCTTGGGCAGGAAGGGGGATGGGAACAAGCCAAGGGACAGGGAAGTGAACTGTTGAAGTGTGAGTGGGCAAAGGCTCTGAGCCTGCAAATGACAGTGAGGGAAAGCAGGCCACCCAAGTCATGCCTCAACATTCGTCTGTGTGCTGTGGGTTTCATGAAGGAATACTAGTAGAAACTCTGGTAAAGAGGAAGGGGTAGGGGATGAGTTGTGCCAAAACCAGAGGCCATGACAGGCTAAAGAGGAGGAGGATGCACCTGCCCTGGTGAGGAGATATAGGAGCAGGTAATGGCAAAGCCCAGAATGAGTAACTCCAGTGCAAGAACAGGTAATGGCAAAACCCAGAACAGGCAACAGCTATGCCCAGAACAGGAGCTGCCCCCCTTGCCTGACCCTGTCTGTGCCCAGTGAGTACCTGGGCTATGACCTGGGATTATGCAGAACTAGGCGTTTGTGCTTGTGTTAGAGGCTGACAGAGGACCAGGTAAGGCACAATGCTGGAGGCATCCTGGCCTCAGCCTCTGAGTGCCCTCCTGGGACTTAGGATATAAGCCCTGCTAGAGCTAAGTCCCTCTATAGTGTGGTGTGGAGGGGATAGAGCTGGCATTTGGATCCCTCAGCACTGCAGGTGTGAAGGGGATCTAGTTGGCATTTTGAGTCCCTCTGTGATGCAGATGTGGAGGGGATCTAGCTGGCATTCGGTGATGTCACCTACAGAGCTTGCCTTGTATGCCTTGTAGATGGAGCCTGACTCTGGAGAAGTCAGGAGGTGCCAGTGAGGCCCAAGGGAAATGGGGGACAAGGACTACTCTGCACTGTGTCTGAGGCCCCATGGGGTTGACTATGTAAACTGCAGTGGCTGCTCACCGCATGGTTCCTGCAGAACCACTTCCTATATCCCCTGCAATGTTTATGGGTTTGTTTTCCTTGGCCAGGGACAGGCACTGGGGACAGAGCTGGGCAAGGAAGTCAGCTGACCTGTGGAGCCCTTGTTTATCTACCTAAGGAGGAAAAGTGTCTTTCAATGAAAATCACTTAGCCTTTCAGCTGGGGGGGCTCTTTGGCAGGGCTGGAAAAAAGCCATGCCCAGCCTAGCTCCAGAAGGCGGCATCTAACAAGCACGGAACACTCAATATTCCAGGGCGTTCCATGCCCTGGATTGGAAGGTGAGCAGAGCTGAGCACCACTGCTTCCAGGCTGTGGTTGCAGACCGGCCCTCTGTGCCTACCAGTCGTCAGGAAGGAAACCACCTGGCCTGGTCCAGCCGGGCATTCTGTATCTGAGAGCATTTTCTGGAGCCCATGACAGGCTTTGGAGTTCAGAGCTCTTCCTAAACTATAGTGAAGCCTTTTGTGCTCATGTGCATATGTTAAAGCTTTAAAACTGGAGGAACCTCTTCCAGTTTCCTTCCAGAAAGGGTGAGAGGTACAGCCTTATAGTTTATGCCTCACCCCCACCCCCAAAGCCTCACACCCACAGACATCAGGAAGCAGGCCTCAGTGGCATAAGAGCAGAGGACAGCTGTTCACTGCCACACTGCTGCCATTCTCTCCCCCTTCCCTTGGTCTCTGCATGGGCTAGCAGGCCAGGACCCCAGGCTTTCTTGAGAGCAGAGCCCCTTCTCCCACTGTGGTGGCCACTGTGGGAGGGAACTATCACTGACTCCTTCCACTCCAGGATAGGGTAGGACAGAAAGCCCTGGAGGCCAAGTAGACATTCAGGGTTCCTGCCCAGGAGGGCGCCTCCTGCTAGGGCTCTCCAGTGGAGATATTCTCCAGTTGCTCTCCTGTTGGGCCAGCCCCTGCACCCCTGCATTCCCCATGCAGAGCACCAAAGCAGCTTGCTCCCTGTCCAGCCCTGGCCTCTCTCATCCTTTCCCGGGTAAGCCGGCCACCATTCCTGTACTCCGGAGGCACACACAGGCCTTACATCAGTTCTAAGCTCCTCTCCTCTGGCTTTAGCATGTGGAGATAGCTTGAGACACTTGCTAGTAGCAGGCCTCATCGACCCCACACTGCCCGTACTGTGCTCATGGCCAGGAGGGCATGACAGGATGGCAGGCTATCTGTGCAGGGCTCCATGACTCTACACAGAGGTAAGTCATGGGAGTCATTTTCAGGATGGTCAGGGTTCTGCAGGGTCAGAGCCCTGCCAGGGACTGGGGGAGGTCCTGAGCCAAGAGTGCATGGGACTGCTCCATAGATTTGCCATGTCTAGGCTCAAATGAGGGCAGGGTCCAGCCCATCCTAGAGCACCAGGGCTGTTGAGGGAAAGAAGTCCCCATGAGGGCCCACAGTGAAGGGCCTGAGCTGTAATAGCTCCTAGGCACTGACTGCTCTGGACCCTGGCTTCACTACTCAGCACGGTGGGCCTTAGACCTGAACATGAGCTCTACGTGTCAGCCCCACCTGAGGTCTTCAGGAGACGGAGCCTCAGGTGCTGCCTTAGGCCACTAAACCAGAGTGTGCATTTTCACCAAATCAGAGCTCAAGTTGGAAAAGCTCTGGACACAGGCTTGTGATTTTCACAAATTCTGGAGAGGTGTGGTAGAGGCACTGAGGCACTCAAGTATGCTGCCTTGGGTCAGATGGTCAGGGTCAGCGTGGTGCCCTGTTGCCTAGCCCAAGTGGCTATCAGCACTTGACTGGGCCTTAGTGGTTTCTCTGTAAGATTGAAGCCCAGAGGGTATAATGGGTTGAAATGAACTAACACATCATGAAGCATGCAAAATGGGGCTCAACCAGTGTTGGCTTTCGGTTCTTGCAATGTGGGTAGAAGCTCCTTGGCTAGCCCATGATAGAAAAGTGCAGAAAGTGGTATCCAGAGCAGACCCAACAGTCGTCTGTCTGTCTTATCCTGTGTGCCTAGAGAGGAAGGTGGTTCAGAGGACCGGGAGGTAGAGAGTGGGAGTCAGCAGGAGGCTGAGAGCAGAAGGCAGAGGGCAGGTGGAGGCCACAAATGGTGGCCAGGGCAGAAGCTTTCCCAGGAAGCAGAGTGCTGCTCAGACCTCTCCTATGGGGGAGGGCCATGTTGGGTAGAGGTAGGGAGTGGGTTGAAAGGCTGTGTGTACTCTCAGGATGGCAGTGTAGGCCTGTGTGAGGTCAGGGTACAAGGAAAAGTGGCTGATGGCTTTTTCACATGCCTGTGGATGATCCTTGCATGGCTACCAGCCCTTAGGGGATCCCCAAAGTTGTAGTAGGTGAGCAGGCTGCAACATTTCTGCCAGCATTGCTCTCCACCCTAGTCCTCCCTGCTCCCATCCCCTTGGGCCTGTGGGAGGTGTAATTTCTGAGCAAAAAATGTCAGGCATTTGTGATAGTGGAGATTGTGTAATGCAAAGGCCAGGATAGGGTGGGCTGGCTGCTTATAGTGGGGCAGAGCCCAGCGGGGGCCTGTGTGCAGGGTGGAGATGTGCACATCCAGAGCTCTGAGGGGCACAGGAATTAGGACACCTCCTTCCCCTGAGAGGCAGGAGGGAATCAGAACAGCTCCCTCTCCTAAAGGGTCACAGGGGAATTAGGAGACCTCCCTACCCTGAGGGGTTACAGGGAAATGGACAGCTCCCTCCTCAGGTGGTGGGGATTTGGTGATGTCAGGAGCCTGCAGGTGTCCTTCCCTGAACACTCCTGACCACTTTCCTACAAATACACATCTTGTAACTTGCTTGTCCAGCCAAATCGTCCAAGGCCTTTTCTAACTACAGATGGGGAAGCTGAGGCCAAGCAGGAATTCTTATGTTAGAGGCCTCTTGGCACATTTCTGTTTTGTTTTGTTTTTGGGGTCGTAGGGCTTGAACTCCGGGCCTGGGTGCTGTCCCTGAGTTCTTCAGCTCAGGGCAAGCGCTCTATGCTTGAGCCACAGCACCACTTCCATCTTGGCACATTTCTTTGCTGGGCTGGAGGATCTAAATCTGCTGGGGGTGAACCCAGCCTGCCTCACCCCTGCCTCCATAGCCCACTCTAAATCATGGCAGTGGCTTTGAGGCTTGTGATCCTTGCCTTCTGTGCCTGTCATGTAGCAGGTCCCACCTCTCCCACAGAGCTGACATTCCTTTGGGAAGACTTTGAGAACACCTGGACCACCCATTGGAACTCAGCCACAGGACTCTGGTGTACCTAGCAGGCTAATACACATGTACACGACACACATGTGCACACATACACTCACACACTTCTGCACATGGTTTCTTCCCTAAGCCCAAGGCTCATGCGCCTGCCTCCCTCCTCTCCCAATACCTGTCCCAGGACTCCCATGGAGTGCAGAAGGAGCCCCACCCTGTGCCCACTGCTGCCCCACCTCCAGCTGACAGCCTGTGTTGTGTAGTGCTGGGCGGGAGAAGTTGTCTGAGGTGTCTAAACCGTTGGTTCTGGGTGTGGTTCTGAGATTAAACCTGGCCCCTTTCCTGTGGCACTTGATAAGGGTGATCCCGGGTGTTTATCTGGCTTTTTCTGTTTTAGGGCCTTTTGACGTCTGTGAGACTTGGCCAAGTCCCTCCTCCGAGAGCCTCAGAGTCCTCAGTGATAAGCGTGGCAGCAGCCGCCTCCCAGTGGCTGTGGCTTGCTTGCTCCCCGCCACTTGAGACACCTGCTGCCAGCACTGTCCTGAGCCCTGCCCCTTCCTGGCCTGGCCCTGGAGGGAACCTGGGGTGCTATTAATAATTACATCAGGGATGATTGTGTAAACGGCCACCACGGAGTGTGGGAACCTTGTCTGAGGACACATGGTTGGGGTTTGCAT